TCCGGTTTCCCCCCCCCCCCAGGAACCGTCACATCTCAGGGTGAAACCTAAGCTGAATGTTTGCCCACACAAACGCAGATATCTTCCGCGATGACACTTTTATTTTTTGTGTGTACAAGTGGTGTGAGGCGTCATCGCGGTATTTCCAGCCGCGCACTTGTGTCACTGAATTTAGAGTGACACCAAATACACCTCCTATTTCTGGAGCCCGGAATGTGGAGAGAGACAAAGAGACCTTTCTGCTGGGAAGGAGAGACGACGACGTGAGAGCTCTTCTTTTCAAAGCTCGAATCTAGACAATTACCAGTTCAAGTGCCCGGGGAGAGGAAAAAAAAAATTTAATTGCACGGATCTACCTGCTTCTGTTCTGTAGATACTGAGACCAGAGGCGTCTCAGTATCCGGGTGTCACCCCGGTCTCCAGAGCGAATGACACCCCGCCATGTCGTCATCGCGCGTGCGAGCGACGTGTCATCGCGCATGCGAGGCCACCTGATTGACACCTGCCTGCGGCCATCTTGGTGTTGGACGCCAGCAGAGAGAGATGGGGGCGTTTACCCGGCGGGATGAGGTATGCCGCTGGGTTCCTTCCACTCTCCTGGCACTGCCGGGCTCTCTGCCAATGACCGAGTGCCCAACTTTTAGAGGGGGTGACACCAAAATGACCGTCAGTCATTTTGGTGTCACCCCTGCAATGGTCAAATAGAGAGTCCCTCCGCACTCTTGACCAAGAAGCCCCATATAATGTGGGGGGGAGGGGGGGGGGTGTTGCTGAAGTGGCCGCGGATGTTGCCGCCAAATACTTGCAAGACAGAAAAATGGTCACCGGCACTCCAGGTTTTCTTCAAAACGAAATCCTTTTATTCATTCATGCCGGTCATATCACCACGCGTGGCAACGTTTTCGGGGAACCTGTCCGGTCCCTTCATCAGGCAAACAAAAGTGATAATTTTCTTTTTTACCCCTTCAATGGTGTCACCCGGGTCGCACCCCCCGCACCCCACCCTGTGACGCCACTGACTGAGACTGGTCTGTTTGGAATCATTAAGAGCAAATACGTTGGATGAAATATTTATCTTTCCGTGATGTCACAGAATGCTGAAGCCTTTGGTCACATGATCTCTGCCAAGGTAAAGGGTCAGAGTTTAAACAGACTGATCCTGCCCACAGGTCACGTGACCTAATGCCCAGCGCCTCTGCCACACGAGGGAGCATGGAAAAGGCATTTTCCCCAGGCAGGAAAGAGAAGTATTTCAGCCCATTATTCTCTATCTATCCATTCCAGCCGGACTGATAACAGAACTGATAACAGAACATGGACAACTTCCCAAAGTAAACATTTCAGCTTCTGATTTTGTTACCCGTTACAATGAAAATGACCTAAAGGTTAAATTTAACCCCATAAAATCCATAAAGATCTGACCTTTCCCATATCAAATACCAATCAAGATGCATTGCTGCACTGAAATCCCCAGCAGTGTTGTCAGCTCTGCTTGAGTCCTCCCCTGCTGGACTACACAACACTCCCCCCCTTGAGCAGAGTGGGATGTCAGTGCGGCGGTGGCTCAGCTCACAACAGTACGTTAGGAGCTCACTGGATTTCTAGCAGATCAGAATGTATTTTATGTACTTGCAGCAATTGTAATCTCTTCCCACCGGCATGATGCATATATGAGGCAGCACAGTGGCTGGGCTTTAAAGGAGAACTATGAGGGGGGGGATCTCAGTATACAGGGAGCTGTAGCTTGCGGTATACTGAGCTTTGGGTGACGGGAGGACGCTAGTTTGTGTCCTCCCGTTACCCTAAGGAGAACTATGGGGAAAAGCCCTGACCCCATAGTTCTCCTTTAATGCTGGACTGCCACATGTATGCGTCTCTGGAGCTCCACTGTTGTGTGCTGAGAGTGCGTGCGTGCGCACACTGTACACTCCCAGCATCCTGAAGGTCAGCCGTGACCGTTGTGATAGCCAATATTAGTGGTCACATGATCAAGACTATGCCTTCCAATGTTAAGACCCAGTTAAAGGGCCGGCGGGAGGGTTGAAGACACATGGGAAAATGTGCATGAATTGGAGGGAATGTTTTTTTATTTTGCCGTGGCATCTACTTCCAGATTCCAGCCGACTGGTACAAGTTAGGGGATAAAAGCAAACATTTGGTTACCCTTAGCGACATTTGCTACATCTTCTCCCCCCGCCCCGCGTGTTTATAAATGAGGCCCTTTGTCTACTTGCATTCTGACAGTCATGAAGATTCGGGACTCACCTTCGGCTGACAGGCCTTGTATGTTAATTCCCTTGGCTGCCAGGAAGCTCAGGCACGCATCAATGTTCTCAATCTAAAGAAAACAGAAGGTGACAGGTTACAGGGAGCGGGTGACAGGTTACAGGGAGCGGGTGACAGGTTACAGGGAGCGGGTGACAGCGGGCTCCTCAGTGTCACTGTGTGAATACAGGAACGGCATTCATCTAATACAGAGCTGGGGGTTCAGGGGGGGGGTGCGGAATCCGGCCTGTTGTGGCCATAAAATACAAGTGCCCATACACTGACAGATTCAGCCTACGGACAATCTATAGACGGATCTCTGCATTCCTTTCAAAGTTATCCCAGTTCAGCCGCTGTACTCACCTGAAATCTTCATGGTGTGCTGCCGTATGGCTAGAGTCTAAATCAGACTTTTAGTGGGAGTGGCTGTATTGTAAAGGGGAGGGTCTACAGGGGGTTCCTGGAACAACATGTTCTGCTGTATTGTGCTCAGGCAGATGCTGGTAATGCCGTCAGGAAGAAAGGCAGGCAGGGGGTGGGGCAGTGGCACAAGGTCCGCAGAGCAGACAGTAGGCAGGACAGTGGCACAAGGTCTGCAGAGTGGACAGGAGGCGGGGCAGTGACACAAGGTCTGCAGAGTGGGCAGGAGGCAGGGCAGTGGCACAAGGTCTGCAGAGTGGGCAGGAGGTGGGGCAGTGACACAAGGTTTGCAGAGTGGGAGGGAGGCGGGGCAGTGACAAGGTCTGCAGAGTGGGCAGGAGGTGGGGCAGTGACACAAGGTCTGCCGAGTGGGCAGGAGGCGGGGCAGTGGCACAGGGTCTGCAGGGTGGGCAGGAGGCGGGGCAGTGACAAGGTCTGCAGAGTGGGCAGGAGGCAGGGCAGTGGCACAGGGTCTGCCGAGTGGGCAGGAGGCGGGGCAGTGACACAAGGTCTGCAGAGGGGGCAGGAGGTGGGGCAGTGACACAAGGTCTGCCGAGTGGGCAGGAGGCGGGCCAGTGGCACAGGGTCTGCCGAGTGGGCAGGAGGCGGGCCAGTGGCACAGGGTCTGCCGAGTGGGCAGGAGGCGGGCCAGTGGCACAGGGTCTGCCGAGTGGGCAGGAGGCGGGCCAGTGGCACAGGGTCTGCCGAGTGGGCAGGAGGCGGGCCAGTGGCACAGGGTCTGCCGAGTGGGCAGGAGGCGGGCCAGTGGCACAGGGTCTGCCGAGTGGGCAGGAGGCGGGCCAGTGGCACAGGGTCTGCCGAGTGGGCAGGAGGCGGGCCAGTGGCACAGGGTCTGCCGAGTGGGCAGGAGGCGGGCCAGTGGCACAGGGTCTGCCGAGTGGGCAGGAGGCGGGCCAGTGGCACAGGGTCTGCCGAGTGGGCAGGAGGCGGGCCAGTGGCACAGGGTCTGCCGAGTGGGCAGGAGGCGGGCCAGTGGCACAGGGTCTGCCGAGTGGGCAGGAGGCGGGCCAGTGGCACAGGGTCTGCCGAGTGGGCAGGAGGCGGGCCAGTGGCACAGGGTCTGCCGAGTGGGCAGGAGGCGGGCCAGTGGCACAGGGTCTGCCGAGTGGGCAGGAGGCGGGCCAGTGGCACAGGGTCTGCCGAGTGGGCAGGAGGCGGGCCAGTGGCACAGGGTCTGCCGAGTGGGCAGGAGGCGGGCCAGTGGCACAGGGTCTGCCGAGTGGGCAGGAGGCGGGCCAGTGGCACAGGGTCTGCCGAGTGGGCAGGAGGCGGGCCAGTGGCACAGGGTCTGCCGAGTGGGCAGGAGGCGGGCCAGTGGCACAGGGTCTGCCGAGTGGGCAGGAGGCGGGCAGAATTGTAGTCTGTAAAATGTGTAGTGACACTTTTTATGTTATACAGTTTTTATAGAAAATTTAAAACCAAATAAAGTTTGGCATTTCCTGTCCGAGTTTTGTGTTCTATTTGCAGTTATTTTTCTTTATTTATTAAACATTTCACCATAAAATACAAAAATCAGATCTAAATTTTCACAAAACTGAAATGCTAATAAAATCAGAATAAATGCAGCAAATCGTATATACAAAGTATCATTATGATGAGTTTATAATACATATTACAGATATAATATCATTTGTAGCGATATTCTCTGGCAGACCTGGCAGCTTGGATGGGACTGGCCGCCCATCTTTTTGAAAAGTCTGGTGCCGCGGCTCGGTCTGAGACGTTACCGTTAGGGGAACGCCGGCTATTGTTGTGGTGCGGCGCTGACAAAGGGGATCCGCGGCACACAATAGGCCGAGCAGTGAATGGAGGGGCAGCATGGAGGGTCCCAGGATAAATGATCACAGCCACGAGGGGACTGCGAGGAGAGAGCGGCGCGTTGTGGCGCGAGGGCTGGCTGTCACGGAGATGGATGGCGTGCCAGGCATAGTGTTTTCACAGCGAGGGGGACGCTCGCAAAAATAGCCCAGCTGCAACTGTCACCCTCCAAGCTGGCCGGAATAATCTGTCACAAGTGGCCGGGATTAGTCTGAGCAAAAAGTGAGGAATTCGCTTCGCATGCAGCCTAAAGGTACAGAAGGAATGCGGTCATCACTCCAAAACATGCCGCAGTGCCCGGCCGCATGGGAAGCCCGGCTGCTGGGATATTTATGAAGTCTAATAGAACTGAGAACTCGGATAACAATTGTCTACAATGTAAGGCCCCATTCACACTGAGCGACATGAAAATTGCGCTATTTGCCGCGCGATTTTATTTGAGCGACTTGTCGCGCGACTTTTTCCTATTGGGCTGTATGCAATCAGGAGCAAAATTGCTCGAAATCGCTCGAAAAAAGGGTCATGTAGGAGCGACGAGCTACAGGCGATATTGAGCGACGAGATGTGAACCGCTCCATTGAAATGGATTGGAGAAGAGCGATATCGCGTGCAAAAATCGCGCAATAGATCGCTCAGTGTGAATGGGGCCTAACATGTATGGTGGCCCGCACATCTAACAACCGCTACGTAGTGTGAGGGCCCCCTGGGTTTGATATAAATTGATTGGATACATTGGGTACGGCCTTATATTTCACAGTTTTGGTAAATCTGCCCAGATTATAACATGTATGGAGACTCTTAGATCTACCACCCTCTGTGTAGTGCCGGGGCCTCCCGGGCGGGATACTAATAGGCCCGGATTCCCCACAAGGCCACCGAGCCCAGGCCTCGGGGCGGCAGCGGCGTGGAATCCCCCGACGTCTGCAACATGCAGTTCCGGGCGGTAAATTGCCTTCTACATTTAGTCCTGCTTTGGCAGGACTAAATGTAGTGTGGGGAAGCCACTTGTTAGTTTACAAGTGATCGCGGTCACAAGTGAACGATGTCGCCGCGATCACTTGTAAAATGTGTGCAGCCTGTCCGTCCTCCCCTCTCCCAAGCAACCTACCTCTCTCCTCTGGTTCCGTCCTCCCCCTGGCCGCCGAGTCTGTCTCCTCACTGGCCGCAAGCCAGTTTTTCATTTTGACAATTTAAAGGGAATTGTAAATACTGGGAGCTGCCATTGAAGGTGTTGAAGGTGCAATCTCCACAACAGGCACCAGGGTGGGTGTCGCCCAGTGCGGGCACCGCACATGCGTTATGATCGTGTGTGATCGAGTGTGACATCATCACACATGCGCATTGATGGATGCTGTCAAAGAGAGGAGGGCAAGATCAGGTATGCCACTGCTCCTCCCCGACCCCCCCCC